CCCCCTCCCACTGACACCAATTCCCACACAGGACCTGTTTTACCTTCCTGCTCTCCATTTTTGAAAAAAGGCATTTTCATTTGTTTAAGATAGCTATACAGGGAGTTTCATTGTGACACTTCCATGTATATATGTATTATAACCTGAATTTGTTCATCCACTTCCATTTTCTCCTTTCTACCTTAGTTCTTTAGCAAGAGTTGAAATGTTTCTGTAAATTCCAAATCCAAGATAAAAACAAACTTAGATGGAAAATAAAAAGAAAGAGACAAGAAAAAGAAAGGAAGGAAGGAAGGAATGTAATATATAAAATGCCAACAGACCTATGTGAAATGTATGCAAAATTTCCATGCTATTTTATATGTTTACTGCTGCTTCAGTACAAGGTAAGATACTAATCAGCTATAAGACAAAATCCACAAATCTATGCTCCTATGGAATTATTAATTTTAATATGAATTAGCCTGAAGGAGGGGATACATTTCACTTAACTCTTTGTCTGTTTGCTGTTCATATACTCTGTCATGAAACTTTAATTCAATGTGTGAATACTCACACTTTTAAAGTATGAGGTGAAGCATTAATGTTCCCATTTTATTGGAAAATAAATTCTGCTGTTTCATCATTAAAATATTTGACCATTTTCAGCAGAATACATATAATTAGAACATTTTTTGTTTCTGCAATTGTATTTATTATTTGTATTTCATCTTCATCCCCAGATTTTTGACTTTAGAGAACATATTGGTTTAATTTTCTTAATTATAAAAGGATATCATTTTCTCTTTTGTAGTGAATGCAAAGGCATCTACTGAACAAAGGTTGGGAAGACCTACAGCTCTGTGATTAGTTCTAGTCTCAAGAGACCTAGGGATGCTAATGATCCAGTGCGTGGATGACCAAGATTCACATCTCCACAATGAACCTCAGCCTCTGTTCCCAGAAGGACAGCACCTGATGTAAAGCATCCCTATTCCCAACAAGAAGTCCTTTAAGAATTATGAAAACCTAATGTCTTCCAGTAAATGTAGTGCCAAGTCTAAGTTTTGCTTCCTTGTAAGTATAAGAGTTGATATTGTAGATTCATTTTAAACTTTGTATTGCTATTATATCTTCACACTAAAAGAAACCTCTACCAGTTTTGAGATTTTTCAATCATTCTCAAAAGATTAGAAAATAATTTCCTAACCTGTGGTTTACTTGCCTTTCAATGGTCTTCTCATTTTGTGGAAAAGGGCAATATTTACTTAATATCTATACCAAATATTTTCTTGTCTGTGGGTAAGTGTGTGCATGTTTATATTACTGAGTAATTGGTTCACATAGTACATGAAAGCTACTTATACATTTATGGAAATTAATTTAAAATGGAGTATCCGAGAACTTTATAGCTAAATTATAATGACAATCATTTCTCTGTAATGATACAATTTGGAAATCACTTAGACATAATATTAAGATTCTAATAAAATGTTTTTAAGAGTGATTTTTTTATTTTCCTTGAGCTTGTCACTTCATCTTGTACATAAAAAAAGTGAGGCATAGATATAATCATCTGCCTGTGCCCCCAACTCCAGAGCTCAGACTTGTTTTACTACCAAAAAACACTATTTAGTCCCACTATTACTTGAATGGGCCAGAATGAAATAATCTCCACAATAATGTATATTGTTTTAAAATTAGACTACCTAAGCCGTAGATTTGTTGTCTTTCAGTGTGTAAGGGTTGTTATTTTATAGTGAGTTTTCAAATTTTACTTACAGTTATTGTCAAGTTCTATGTTTTTCATGTGTTACTTGTTTTCTTGCTTTCTTTCTGTTACAAATGAATTTTAATCACAAATAATTCAGTGTATTCTGTCCTAAAGTATAAGTGTATCATAAACTTATGAATACATATAAATAGAAATTTATAAGTGTAACATATTCCACGTAATATTCATTCATGTATTTTTACATGAATACAGTATCTTATCATAATATGAGTGGTATTTACATTGTATAAATATACTTTTACAATTTTATAAAAAAATTAATAAATATTATGTCAACAAAGCCATGTCTTGTGTGTATAGTCACATGAGAGCATATCAGAGATATTGCTATTTTTTTGAACAGTTATGACCCTGCAGCATGGGAATACTCAACTGTTAGGCTTTGACTGTTTTCCATTTTTTACTATAATGAAAATTTAACTTTTTGATTTCTATTGCCAATATTATCTCCCACGTTACTATTTATTACTTAAGATGACTTCTAATATTGTGCTAAATTGATAAATCAAAATAGTCTGTGAAGGAATTGCATGTTTTTAAAATATTCTTATTTTTAAAATATTTTATTTTTCAATTAATATTCAATATTATATGAGGGGGTTTCATTGTGATAATTCTATACAGAATGGAGGGAGTGAATTTCACATTTTTTAAAACAAATATCTTCATTTTGTCATGACTTATTAAGATATTGTTTCCGAATTTTGAAAAATCACATTTGAGTATGTTGCTAGGAAGTAAGAATTTTTTCCAGCACTTATTTTCCTAAAGGAATACTTGCAGTTATCAATATTCAAAAGCAGTTTTTCATTTTATCACTAAGACAATACTGAGTGGTAGTAAATACAGAATGGGGAAAGTACAAAAAGAATGTTCTCCTTTTTCTGGATTTTAGTAGGATAGATTGATGTGTCTTGATAGAGTGTAGAAAAGAGTGATAATCAATAGTTATAATTATCAGATAATTAGATATAACAAATCATTTTCATAAATGTACTTTTAATAAGATTTTTACATACTATAGTCAAACACCCAATGCCAACCCAATTTTTATAAACAAAATTCTCGATGTTTTGCCAAATATATTCTCTTTTTTTCTTCCTCACAGAAAATAACAACTATATTCTAGAAACACACACACCTCAAAATAATCCTAAATTTCAAATTGGATTCAATTTCCATTGTCTTGTTATCTGAAAAAGTACATAGAAGGGAATCATGTCATGTCATGTCCCTACTGCCATCTTCATATAAGCCATAGTTATCTTTCTCAAAGTTTATTGAAACAACCTCCTAATTGTCTTGCTCAATAGCACTCTGGATTTATGGATGTCTACTCTTTAAACAAGTTGAATAATAAAGTAAGCCTGTAAAGGTATGATGCATATGTTATGATACTTTGTGCAAAGCTACTCCCCATCCCTTTGAATTTCTAAAGTATTTACTATGTACAACAAGTGTATTTTTTATTCCTCATCAGTCACTCTCCTTTCTCTTTCAATTCAGTCAACTTGTTAAGTACTCCTATTTTATAAAATCCTATACCCCAAGTCTTTTCTGATTTAATTCATTTTTCAGATAAGGTCTTGTTCTTTTGCTTGGTTTTGACCTCAAACAATGATCTTCCTACTTCCTGAGTAGCTGGAATTACAGATATGTACTACCACGTCCAGATTAGTTTTTTGAGATATGCTCTCATTAATTTTTTGCCTATGTTGGCTTCAAACAGCAGTCATTTTGTCTCCACCTCCCAAGTATCTGGGATTATAGGCATGTGCCACCACACTTTGCCCAGTATCTTCCGTTTCATTTCATTCACCTTCCTTTATGTTTCTCTTTTATTGTTGCTTTTGTTATTAGTATTATTAATTTTTACAGAATAGTGGGATTAATTGTGACATTTTCCTGTTTGCACGTAAGATATATTGATCATATTCATCCTCTCTTGTTCCTTGACTCCTTTCATTGGCTCCTCCCCAAACTGATTCCCTTCTGCTTTCATATCTTTTTTAATCACAACTTTATATATCAATATGTATATTATTTACTTTGAAAGCAGAATAAGAGTTCCTTCAAGGCAAGAAACTTGTCTTTTTTACTGCTTTATGTCTAGCAAATATAATATTTCTTAGCATAGAGTATAAGTAATTGGTGTTTATTGAATTCATGAAAATGCAGATGGACAAACTAATTTATTGATATTTTGTCATAATATAATTGAATAATTTGTGTGCTATTTCAGAAAACATGTGGTGCTAAGTGGCAGCCTATGTTTCTGAAACATACAGTTTTTAGGGCCTCACAGATCTTTCCTCTTTACAATGAATATTGAAGTTTATTGTTTCAATGCTGATAAAAAAGAAAGATACAAATGTAAACTTACAGAAGTGCAAGGAGAAGAGTTATCAAGTTAAACGACAACCTAATATTTTATCAGTCCTAGTACTAAATAGTGAATGAAAAGATTGATCTACATTTTTCTCCTTCCTCAACTATCTGAGAGCACAATTGTGTTTAAGAGCACAGCCATTGATCATCCAAGTCAAGGATCTGGCAGAATGTGAGACAAAAGTGGTTGGGGTATTAGACTTGGAAAGGAAGGCACTGAATTTTTGGAAGTCACTGCATTGAGTTTAAGTAAGAGTGAAAAAAATAAAACATGGTAGCCCAGGATAATGGAAGATTTGTTGTGTATGCCAACCTATGTCATAGAATGAGCCAGGTCTTTAGAACCAGACTCTGGATTTAAATGTCAATTCTAATTTTTAATAATTTTGTGAGATAAGAAGGTTTTCTTTTATAATTTTATTTTGAAACAGAGTTTCACTGTGTAGCCCAGCTGTCCTGAAACTTATTTTGTAGCCCAGGCTGGCCTTGAGCTCATGATCCTCATGATTTAGCCTTTCAAGTGTGAAGACTACAGGCATGAACCACCGTGCCTGACTTGAGAGTTTTCTCATCCCCTCCTTTTTTAAAGTGGAAATTCACATAAAAAATAAATCAGTAACCAGGAGATAAAATTATCTGAAGTTCTAAAAACCTAATTCACAAGGTATGAATTGTCTGCTGCTGAAATTAATCTCTTTTCATCATCTAACTGCAGGATAATCCAAAATGTCTTATGCTATGATGGATATTACATAGTGGAGGAAATCATATTTCTTTCATCTGAGTGACATCATCATCATCTTGTTCTTCAACTAAAGAGCTACATAAATCTGAATGCATGGCAGGTTGGAATCATACAGGTGTGAAGGAGCTTCTTCTAGTAGGATTAACTGAAAATCCTAACTTGCAGATACCGCTCTTTTTGCTTTTTGCCCTTGTTTACCTCATCACTCTAGTAGGTAACTGGGGGATGATTACCTTGATCTGGTTAAATGCCCAGCTTCATACTCCAATGTACTTCTTCCTTAGCAACCTCTCCTTTTGTGATATCTGCTACTCTACTGTCTTTGCTCCTAAGATGCTGGTCCATTTCCTGTCAAAACTTAAGTTCAGTACATTTGTTGGCTGTGTTCTACAGAGTTTCTTTTTTGCAGTGTATGTGACCACAGAAGGTATCCTCTTGTCTATGATGGCTTATGACCGCTTTGTGGCAATAGCGAATCCCTTGTTGTATACAGTCATTATGACCCAACGTGTCTGTATTCAGATGGTCCTTTCATCTTACTTGGGTGGGCTCATTAATTCCCTGACACACACAGTAGGTTTGCTCAAACTAGACTTCTGTGGTCCCAACATTGTGAACCATTACTTCTGTGACATCCCTCCTCTTTTGAGGCTTTCATGCTCAGATGCACACACCAATGAGATGTTATTGTTGATTTTCTCTGGGATCATTGCAATGTTCACATTCATTATCATCATGGTCTCTTATATCCGAATCATCATTGCCATTCAGAGAATTTGCTCAGTGGAAGGAAGGAGAAAAGCCTTCTACACTTGTGCCTCCCATCTGACTGCTGTAACCTTATTCTATGGGTCTGTGACATTTAGTTACATCCAGCCAAGCTCTCAGTATTCACTAGAACAAGAGAAGGTCTCTGCTGTGTTTTATACATTGGTGATTCCCATGCTAAATCCTCTGATTTATAGCCTGAGGAATAAAGATGTGAAAGATGCAGCAAAAAGATCAATTTGTCTGAAGAGAAACCCACTTCACTCAATCCTGTCTATGGCTTGGCAAACCTGACGTTGATTTGTACATATACTTCCTTTAAAGTTGTATCAATGATAGCATCACAAAAACAGTGACAGCATCACCAGTCAAGTCAGGCTCATGCTTTTTGGGAATAAAGTGTTGAATTTTGCCTGAAGACTGAAAATACTAGAAACAGCAATTCATTATTTTATAACTTAATAATTTCATTTTTTCAAAGATGAAAAATAATCTTTCTGATAACTTTTCATGTCAACATCTGAAGAACCACATCATGGTTTGTTTTTAGAAGATTATAGAGCTTAAAGTCAAATCAATAATCCAAAAATTGTTATTTATCAAATGTACTGGTACCTTACATAAAAATTACAAATGTCCATGTCTTGGTGTGCTTATATGCTACCATTAGCTTTTATTCTAAAATGTTATCATTCAAAAAAAATAAATTTCTTTCATTATACATTTAAATTACATTTCTTAGTAGTATCCTAAAATGACTATAGGAAAAGTAACTCACTTTATTTATAGTTTTAAATAACATGCTTCTGTTAAGTACCTTTATTTGACATTCACTCTGTATAATGCAAATCTAAAGAGATTTAAAAGATATATAGGTATAAATAAACAAGAAATGGAGGAATACTGTCATTGAAAGTATTATTTAAAGATAAGGAAATGTACAAATTTGAATAGACATAGCATGAAATATTTAAGTAAAAGTAGTTGACAATAAGAATACACCTTCTGTAGAATCACATGTGTGAAGTTCCTGCAACAGTGGGATCATAAATTTTAAAAACTCTCTAAATAGCTAATTGAAGCCCTAACTGAAATGAAAATAATATGCTTTAGAAAAATTTACCTGGTATCACTATTAACATATTAGAAGGTAAAAGAACAAACAATCTAAGAAAAAAATAGTCATAAAAAAAAGAAGAAGAAAAAACAGAGACACATAAGAATCCTTGCAGGTGAGTAAAAGGGAAAGGTGGAAGTATTTAAGAGATAGTTTATAAACAGGACTTGGGAAATGAGTAAATGATTTTTGGCTTTATTATTGATAGCAAAATATTTACAATGATTTGAGGGTTTTGAATCTGCATCAGGTTTACAAGACAAAAGCAAAATGTAAGAATCTAAGTACCATGAGAATATCTAAAGGAAAAACTTCTGAGAAGAGGGTATATCCAAGAACAAAGTCAAAGAGGAAGAAAATGTCCTTGATTATCAAAACCAGCAAAAGGGTCAGCAGTCTATTAAAGAGCAGAGGAAGGCCAGGAGCCTGTGGTTCATTTCTGTAATCCTAGCAAATTACAGTTTTGGCAGATACTTTGCTTTGTTCCACATGATTGTATTTTACCTCAGGATATTAGCTAAATTCTTGGCCTGAATATGAATGGGAAACTAAATAAAAAGGCAAGGAGACAGACATACAGAAAAATAGAAGAAAGATAGAGATGATAGTGATAGATGACAGATAGATGTGCGATGATAGATGGCTAGATAGATAGATTGACAGACAGATGATAGGTGTGTTACAGTTTAAACATGAAATATACCTCATAAGTGTATTGAATACTTGGGCCCTAACTGGTAGGACAATTTTGGAGAAAGTGGGTTACTGGGGCTGTGCTTTTGGAGGTTATACTGGATTAGCAGTCCCTTCACTTTTTTCTATTTCCTCTACAACATGAGGTGAAGACCTCCTCCACCCCATGTTCCCAGACATGTTGTTCGTCTGTTCAATGCCATAGGGCCAATCATCTATGGAAGAAACCCTGTGAAACCCTGAGCTAAAATCTTTCTCACTTTAAGTATGACAGGTATTTTATCACTGGTATTTAGAAGTCTAACTAACACACAGAGGGATGGTAGATCTAGATAGATAGGTAAATAGAGATACAGATAGATATAGATAGATGATATGGATGGATAGATGACAGAAAGAAGATAGACAGATAGATACATAGATAATTAATTGATAAACTTAAGTACAGAACTTCAAAAAAGCAGAGAGAAACTTGGTGGTATCTTAAATAATACAAATACTAAAAATGGTGTTCTGCCAAAAGGATGGGCAACCTGTTCTCAGCATTTGCCCTGTGACTGGCCTAGGGGAAGTAAAAAACACTATGACTTCAAGCAGTTATGTAGGTGAAAGAAACAAATTTGATTATATAGAAGCTTAAACATAGACCTGGCTCTACCCATAAGAATTTGGAGTTGGAGGAATATACAAAGTTGTCTCAGGCCACAAATGTTGGACAAAATCTCCTGTACCCTCTCTTTGCCTAGAAGACAAAGATTTGCTAGAGGCAATATAGACATAATACAAGCTTTCCCCTCCAAAACAAAAAGACTTTTGTTTTGTGGTAAGTCAAATAGAGAGGATTAGAATTTCATTCAAAAGCACAAAGATAGTTGTAAAGGATAGTACACACTGGAGGGATGGTGTTGTTTTTATTAGTGTCTAGGTATTTATGTCTAGGTGATAATGACCCATCAGGTATCCAACAAAAGTCAGCACTCCATCAACATATTTATTGAGTGTTTAAGAAATATATGGAAGAAAGACAAGTTCACACTCAAAGAGTTGAATTTTTTTAACAGCATTTAAGGTATGAAGTGAGTGAGAGCAACAAGACAAGGGAAACCTATCTCTCAAGTAAAATCTTTGAAAGCCCACACTCTAGAAACAGGGAATGGTAAAGAAATACAAGGTCTAACTCTGAATTAGTTCAGTACCAACTCAAGTAGTAATTGAAATAATGTAGTAAACTAAGTCACCTTTCTACCCATTAGAGAAGATGAAGTCCTTTCTTGAAACAAAAATCTTCTTAAATATCTATGATTCTTTTTTCACAAATAACCCAAAACTGTAATTTAGAGCAAAAACACACAAAAGATAAGCAGGTCTTCAGAAAATACATTTGCTGAAGTTAGAAAAGAAATTCAAAATTTTTAAATGTTTAAAATTATAAAGGAGAGGTTACAGAAACTAAGATGAAGTAATACAGGAGAATTTTAAGTTAATAAAAATGGAAGCAAATGAAAAATTGGAGGTAAAATTACCACAAACTCAGAAAACTGAAGACCAGTGGAACAGAGTAGAGGACCCAGGTATGAATTCACACAGCTATGCCCACCTTATTTTTGACAAAGTCACCAAGAACATATAATCAGAAAAGACAGCCTCTTTAATAAATGGTGGTGGAACAAGTGGTTATTCTCCTGCAAAAAACAGAAATTAGATCCATTTCCTATCACCCTGTACTAGTATCAACTCAAAATGGATTTAGGACCTTAACATCAGACCTGAAACCTTGCAGTTAGTACAGGAAAGATCAGGAAATACTCTGGAAGCAATAGATATAGGTAAGGAATTCCTAAGCAGAATTCCAGCAGCCCAGCAACTAAGAGAAAGGATGGACAAATGGTACTACATGAAATTAAAAAGCTTCTGCACAACAAAGGAAATGTTCTCTAAACTGAAGAGACAACCCACACAGTGGGAGATACTATTTTCTAGCTAACATCTGACAAAGGACTGATAACAAGAACATACAGAGAGCTTAAAAAACTAAACTCCCCAAAAATCAGTGAATGAATAAAGAAGTGGGCAACTGAACGAAACATAATTTTTTCAAAAGAAAAAGTTCAAATGGCCAAAAACAAATGAAAAAATGCTCACTATCCCTGGCCATAAAGAAATGTAAATCAAAACCACACTAAGATTCCACCTCACCCCTGTTAGAATAGCTATCATGTTGGTGAGGATGCGGGTGGAAAAAGTAATCCTCATACACTTCCGGTGGGAATGTAAGCTAGTACAACCACTTTGGAAATCAATATGGAGGCTTCTTAAAAAGTTTACATTGATCTGCCATATGATCCAGCAATACTACTTCTAGTAATATGCCTGAAGAAATGAGACTCAGGTTATTCCAAAGACACCTGCACACCCATGTTTATTTCAGCACTATTCACAATAGCTAAGCTATGGAAACAGACAAGATGCCCTACTACTGATGAATGGATTAAGAAAATGTGCTATTTCTACACAATGGAATTATATTCGGCAAAAAAGAAGAATGAAATTTTGTTTTTGGCAAGTAAATGGGTGGAACTGGATAACGTCATCTTAAGCGAAGTTAGTCAGGCTCTGAAGGGCAAAAATCACATGTTCTCCCTCATATGGGGATTATAGACCCAAAACAAATGCAGTAATATTATTGGATATGGGTTGCACACTAAGGGAAGAAAGTGCACGGGAGGAATAGGGAAAGGGAAGGAAACCTAAAACTTGCATATGGTTGATGTATTCACTGTATAGGAGTGAATATAGTAATCTTAAACTGGCAGAGGCCACTTTGGGAAGGGGACAAGGAAGTAGTGAAGAGGTCTGTTAGAAATGAACCAATGTGGGTTGCAACACATACGTGCATGGAAGCAATGCTAAGAATCTTTTTGCACAGCTATCTTTATCTCAAGCTAGCAAAAACACTGTCTTTCTTATTATTTTTTATGTTTTCTCTTCAACAAAATTGGATACAAGAGGGAGGAACAGGTTCTGCCCAGAAGCGGGAGTGGAGAGAGGGGGACCAAACAATGTATACACATATGAGTAAATGTAAGTACAATAAAATTTTTTAAGAATTAAAAATAATTTATTAAAAACATTTTTATTGTATATAAGACAAGTCAGGGAGCAGCACCATCATTATAAATTATCTAAGCTGAAGCACAAAGGGAAAAATATACAAAAATCGATCAAACACATGTGAAAGTCAATGAAATGGTGTGAAATACATTTAGCAAGGCTCAAATCAAAAGGAGAGAAAAGAAAGAAACAACATTTTAAATAAAGTGACTAAGATAAAGTGATTATCAGTTATTTCTAAAACTGATAATGTGAACAAACATATTCAGAAAGTCAAAATATACCATTATCATACCCATCTTATTCAGAATATTTGCAAATTAATAATAAAAATTGTTCATATTGATAAAATTAATGCACATTTTGATATTTC